GGCAGATGTCAGCCTACTAGTGAATGCCACGCGTGCAACATGTGTAGTGAATGGGTCGCGTGCACCCTTCCCTCTGTCGTCACGGTTACAATACTCTTTATTTAGGAATTTACGTTGGTGAATAGATATTGTGATTATTGTAGCATCTGTGAAGCAGATGTTCTAACGGCTTCTAGTGATTAACATTTGTTGGGATTTCAATGCCAACATTATGGTAAGGGACAAGTGTTATGTTATAAAATTGTTGATAAACGAGAATCACTATATTGTTGTTTTTTTAGGTTTTCATTCTACTGCTCTTGTTCTTATAATACTACACAAGACTTGATAAGGCACACTTCCGCGGACTTAAGTCCCTTAAGGACATTATCCATTACTCTCTGAAACGTTAATGGAGCTGAGCATAACCCAAACGGCATCTTTTTAAATTCATATAAACAATCTGATGTAGCAAATGCGGTTTTATGTCGGTCCTCTGGTGCAACTGGAATTTGGAAATAACCCGAGTAAAGATCTAAATTACTGTAAATGCTAGTACCCCCCAGGGAATCTAATGTTTCTGTTAGCAAAGGTAGCACGTAGTACTCCTTTTTAGTTACATGGTTAACTTTTCTAAAATCAATAGCAAGTCGCCACTGAGGCTTCCAATCCGGTCCCGCATCAACCGGTTTCCGTTTCTGACACATAACAATGGGTGACGCCCAATTCGAGGTTGATGGCTGTATTATGTCCCTATTTAACATATCGCTGATATGTTCCTGCACAACCCCTTTCAATGACTCAGGCAACCTATAGGGTGCAGAGCGTACCGGAAGTACGTCCCCCGTGGGAATTTTATGCTCAATAAGGGTCGTACACCCCAGTGGTCCCGTACCGTCATAAAATAACGATCGAAACTTCCATAGTACTGGAAATATTATATCCCTGTCACTACTCTGAAGGTGTGCTAATTTAGAATCAATTAACTGTTTAAGATTTGCCAATTTCCGGCCACCCTGTCCTTTAAAAACTTCCCCCCATACTCCTTCATCCTCCTCCAGCTCGGCTTGCCTAAATCTTTCGACCAGATCTACCATCTCACTTCCATCCCTAATCAACCCTACATGACTAACACCACCTCGTGTTCCGCCACCTTCGGTCCCTGACCGGATAACTTGCCTCTCACAGGCTTCACTACACATGGGCCTCTCACCCGCAACACTTGCCGTACTCCGGCTACCAACATGCCTCTCCCAGGCTTCACTACACATGGGCCTCTCACCCGCAACACTTACCGTACTCCGGCTACCAACATGCCTCTCCCAGGCTTCACTACACATGGGCCTCTCACCCGCAACACTTGCCGTACTCCGGCTACCAACATGCCTCTCCCAGGCTTCACTACACATGGGCCTCTCACCCGCAACACTTGCCGTACTCCGGCTACCAACATGCCTCTCCCAGGCTTCACTACACATGGGCCTCTCACCCGCAACACTTGCCGTACTCCGGCTACCAACATGCCTCTCCCAGGCTTCACTACACATGGGCCTCTCACCCGCAACACTTGCCGTACTCCGGCTACCAACATGCCTCTCCCAGGCTTCACTACACATGGGCCTCTCACCCGCAACACTTGCCGTACTCCGGCTACCAACATGCCTCTCCCAGGCTTCACTACACATGGGCCTCTCACCCGCAACACTTGCCGTACTCCGGCTACCAACATGCCTCTCACAGGCGTCACTATCCAACCTCTGGACCTCATGACTGAACTCGCTCAGGTCGGAACGGAAGGGCTTGGGCCCAGCACACTCACCGCCAACCTGAACAACGGTACCGACCAGGACCCCAGGCCTGGATTTCACAATTGCCACCTCGGCCAAACCAAACGCATATCCTTTATCCCAAGTCACATCACTATCACCAATATTCAATACTCGACACTGAACCAACCACTGACATCTCTCTTCACACTGCTCCTCGAAGACCTTACTCACAACACGTGCAATACAAACATCTCTATCCTTTCCAAACTCATTTCCATCCTCCACATAAACCAATTTAGGGCACCCCAGCTTCCTATTACCACTCTCCAATTTCAACTCTGCCGCCAACAAGTATTCACTATTCGCCTTTAAAACCACCGGCCTAAGGGTGACCACCCTCCAGACTCTCTCTTCCCTGGAGCAGGAACTCAACGCCTGAGTGACTTCCATCTCCTCCACGCCATGAGGCCCCTGCTCCTCACACCCCCCTTGTGGGTTAGCTACTCCCCCAAGGGTGGCATTACTGGAGGGGGCGGTACCGGCATCCCGCACCCCCATCATCTGGAGAGCGGCCAGCCTTATCTCATCAATCGACAGATCTATCACCACTCCTAATTTTCTCAACGAATCTAGCCCCAAAATTCCATGATATGGTAGATCTAGGTCACACAAATGAAATTCCAAATTAAATATCTCCCCTGCAATATCTACATCAAAATTAGTTACCCCTTTAATATTCAATCTATCTCCTGTAACACCCATCGCTGCTACAGTAGACTTTCTCACATTACAGTTCTCCACTTCACCCTTAAATAACGAAATAAGTGCCCCGGTATCGACTAAAAATGTAAATAACCTCCCCTCAATTGACCCCACTAATGTAAGGTCCACACCTGCTGTTACCCTGATACCAGGAACAACTTCATCTCGCGCGGCAGCCGGTCCAACAGTCGGGTTACTTATTGATTTCCTGTCGGACCCCTGAAGTTTAAAGGCCCATTTCGGCGGGGTGAATCACTCCTTACCACTCCTACCTTCCCTTGATCCACCCTACAGTCCCTTGAATAGTGACCCCTACGTCCACACCTGTAGCAAACAACCCCTGACATCACCGCCGCATTCCTTTGGGCGTCCGACAGGTTGAATCTCACCCTCCTATTGTTATCCACCCCTCGACTGGCAGGGCTAGGCTCCCGACTACTTGAACCCCTATCAAAACTACCGCTTCCATTGTTCATTCGGCCCGTGCCGTCACGGCGCCGATCAATACTCCGATTATCTCCTGCAAAATTTCCCCTACCAGCACCAGGGGAGACCCCTCGCGAGAACCTGTCCGAGCTATAACCACGACCAGCTACTCGGCCCCTTCCACGGTCATCAACCCTCGGACCTCGACCACGACTTCGGCAGTCCGCCTCCCTATGTCCCTCATTATTGCAATTCCAGCACGTGAGCTGGAACACCGACGCCGCCGTCTCCGAGGGTTTGGACGCCTCTTCCGCCTCCACAAGCGTTGCCCACTGCACCGCGTCCTCCCACTTAGTTGGGAACCGGAACCGCGTGACCTCCCCAGGCTTGCCCTGGAGCCCATGTAAAAATGACGCGAGCATGCGCCTCTCCGCCTCTTCCTCGACAATTTTCTGTGACGCCTCGTCCCCTGTCTGACGCACGGTAAGGGCCCCTAGTTGTCGGATTCTTTCCGAAAACTGGGCTACCGACTCCCCACGCTTCTGTTGCGCGTTTTGTAAGTTCATGTAATTGAATTGATCAGTGTGCTTCCCTAGAAAGCGGTCCATGAACGCGCTTTCTAGTTCAGCGTACTTCAGCGAACGCGATAAGTCAAATCTTGTGGACAAAAACGTGGCTGCTGGTCCTTTCGACTTCAGAACTACAACACGTGATTTGTCGTCCTCAGACCATTTCCCCAACAGCGCCGCTTGATTAATCTGCTGGAAAAATTCCCTTACGGAGGGCGACGTACCATCCCCCCGAAACACGTCCACCAGAGCCGCCGCAGCCACATTCATCGTGTTAACTGCCGGAACCCCCTCCGTCTTCTTCTTCTCCGCTAAATACAATTTCAACTGATCGAGCTCCCCTTTTAGGGACTCGAACGCAGCTTGTGACACGGCCATGATTTAATTTAATTTAATTTACTATTAATTTATTTTACTTTATCTCCAACTAACAACCTTTACTTATCTTCAATATCTAAAACCACAAACACCAAAGAAAATGTGCTTTTTCAATACACCGACAATGAGTGCCTAAGGTAACACATAGCCGACGCACCCATGTCCCAGGTAAAATACACAAACACAATTCCACCCACTACACACGTACCGATACCAACAAAAACCCCTTTTATAAAATTCCACGATACCATTGTCACGACTCACTCTATTGAATTTAATGATTAGAATCTATTAATATACTAACCCACTTTGCTAAAAACAAATAATTTAATGAAACTCAATTACTATTTTATTTACTTTTACTCGTCTCACGTTCGTCTCATTAGTGTACGTCGTCCGACCGTCGTTAATATATTTCTCGATTATCCTTTCAACCAGTGATTTTAATAACGCTTCACACCCTTCCAAAATGACATCCGGGTCATAGACGGGTAAATAAAATTTGGCGTCCCTGTTACTCATATGTGCTTCGGTGTTTCGTATATATGCTCCTCGGGAAGCTCAGGTAACGGCAACTTTGGTCGTATCGCTTTGGACAATGCTCCCTTTTGTGGTTCACGTTTCCCTACTGTGTTTTCTGCTGTCGGCACGTGTTCGTAGTATGCAGTGATAACCGCCGACCGCGTTCCGATTTTAGTAAATAATGTGGTGGTGTATCCCCCTGCGCTCAACGGCTCCCCAGGTGCTGTGTTAAATTTCCGAATTCCCCCTGGGTCCATAAAATTGCCACCTGACCCAGTCCTTGATCCCTTGTTACCCAGCGCGCCCCACAAGAATTTAATTAAAGCCGAATGCCACTGATAAGGCTATCGCACCACTGCTGATAACAATATATCTATACTGGCCAGTTCACTATCATCCTATGAAAATGTGGCATTAATATGACGTATACTAAGTGATTGTACACTTCAACAGGCACCGCTTTCTTTAATTCTTCCAAAAACTCTTTGATTACGTCAACGATATCAGGTTCCTCAGGCTGCCCTGGACCATCCCACATCTATGCTTACAAGGAGCTGCTCACTACGATAATCATAAAGGAAGGCCTTATATCGACATGCAAAATAAATCCCCCTTTGCTCGTGAACGAATCAATCGAGTATTTCAAGAAGTGCTGGTAACTTAAAATCGGTTTATCCGCCGAAACAACACTCTGTTCTTCAAAAAGATGCAGACCCCCAACAAGCTTTTCACACCTCACCTCGCTAGTCCCCTTTACTCTATCTTCTGTTATCGTGTATACTAAAACTTTATGCCCACACTCGGCAACCCTGGTATAGAATCTATTGAAAATTTCCTGCTTACATAACTGGTAGCATAATGCCATGGCTAATAATTAATACTGTTAAATTCCATGTTAATACTGCCTCATTTAAATATGTAACAATATGATCAACCAAATACACACATGAATAAAAAATAACAACAAACAAAAATCTATGTCTTCACAATTATACATCTACGGTATCTAAATAGAGTATCGCCTGGTTCACCTTTTTAGATTTAAGACATACTCCTCCTCAATTAAAATTTATTTTTACACCTGACACCAATGTTGGATGTCGCTTAGTTAGCCAGAAGGGCTACAAGCAACTGGGAGCTTGGAGCAATAACTACACTGGAGGAGTATGCTAAGAACATTATTTATTTATGACAGCAGTAGTTTATGACATTACAAACAAGATAGAATATAATATAGATAGATAATTACAATGAATGACTAGGGGACTCTAACATAATTAATACTGAAACGGAGATGTTATAATGAGAGAGAGAGAGAGAGAGCTACCACGAGATAATGAGAGACTCACCTAGGACGGCAGCATGTCACCGATGCGATGTACGAGTGGAATGACAACCACCGGGCTAGGAGCCCCTTTTATATAAACCGCGAGTAGCGTCAGTGGCCATCCCCCAACCGCAAGCCACATTGGGCCTATGAATAGATCAATTGGAAACCACGATGATTCAAAGGGAAGTTATAGAGAATAATATAATGTTTCATACCGGACCGTTAGACTATTGTAGTAAGGGTAGTTACCCTAGTCTGAATGGGGGAGGCTTAGTGAATGGCGTAGGGACTACAATGACAAGGGGGAGGTGCTTTACAACTGTGCCCGAAGGGTGAACCCCAACGGGAGGTTATGAATGGACTGGGGTCCATATTAGGGTTGTCGTGACCTACCCCAACTAGGGTAGGCAGATGTCAGCCTACTAGTGAATGCCCTAGGTCGCGTGCACCCTTCCCTCTGTCGTCACGGTTACAATACTCTTTATTTAGGAATTTACGTTGGTGAATAGATATTGTGATTATCGTAGCATCTGTGAAGCAGATGTTCTAACGGCTTCTAGTGATTAACATTTGTTGGGATTTCAATGCCAACATTATGGTAAGGGACAAGTGTTATGTTATAAAATTGTTGATAAACGAGAATCACTATATTGTTGTTTTTTTAGGTTTTCATTCTACTGCTCTTGTTCTTATAATACTACACAAGACTTGATAAGGCATAATATATTTTTAAAACATAATAGTTTTATTTATAACTCTGCACAATATAAGCGTTACCTTATACAAGGCAATAAAAATACCTAAGATTCAAAGATTTATTTGCCGTTAAATATTTACAATAAATACAATAGGCTTCGTCATGCTTATAACTAGAACAGTGCAAATTCACAATGCAAGTGCTTCCCAAACTTAAGTTTCCTGTCAATGTAAACAAAGTAAAATCTAATCAAATTTTTTTACAATAAAAATTGTTGTACATCCTTCAATTAATTGTACTGTTACACATAATGTTTGTGTTGCAATTAAACTACACGGTGCAATTTACAATGATATTATAATTGATTTTCACGACCATACCACAGTACAATCGATAAGGCTATTTTGGTCGTGATACCACGGTCGTGAATTCACATATTATTTGGCTCTTTCTGGTGGCAGCCCTACATCGCATATTTGAGGAGGCAAAAAGGATTTCTGGGTTAACGTAGCAATTAAAATATGATATAAACAAAAATCAACACCATGTTTTTTTCATCAAATTACTATGTTCGTTCGTGGAAACACCAAATTTACAAAAATCATAAAATTTACCTTTATTAATCTTGTACAGTATTTCCTTTTAGCTAATTTCCCTATAGGGAAGCAGCTATTACCATAGGTGGCACGGTAAGACCTAATAGGCTATTTTATACATCTATTTTGTATAAAATAGACAATTTTGTACTTGAATGAGTTCGCGAACCAGCATGATCGGACCATGTGAACGGGGTTTATGGGGTAAAAATGGGCTTTCTAATTTTTGACCCTCAAAACACAAAAATTTGCCAATTTCTCTCAAGACCTTTTTAAAGAGATTAAAAAAATTAGTATATTAAACTGTTTTTGGTAACGTAGAAAATTAGTTCTAAGTTATTGATATTTTACTAAAAAACACATTTATTTATTAGTTTCCTTGTAGCAGCAAACCTAGGTACTCTTATTTAGCCTAATGTTATTTAAATACATTTGATTGAAAATCAATTCAGAAAAATAGTAATTTGCTTAGTCGGCAGGTTTGCTGAGGCAGGGGTATTTTACTGCAAAACCACCGGTACAACAAAACTAACGCACATCCCGAACCAGTCCCTAAAACCAACTGACGCCATCGCCGCTTTGCCACTGTCGTGTTCCATTTTGCCATTATGGTTGGGAAGTCAAATCGAGGGACAGGCTTATTTTGTCATAGCAGTCAAGTTCGCAATGAAAACAAAATTATTATATGCTCCTTTTTTGTAAGTTTATTAACTATTGATATGGCATTATATATTTCGGCATCAATAATTCGTCTAAAACAGCGTGAAAGTTCAAAAATCTACCTTAGGGACACGTGATGGTAGTGAATTTTGAGACGAAAAAATACCTAAACCCTATTTAAGACCAAATAAATGTGTGTAACATGTTGCCCCTCCCCAAAAAATAGTATAACACATAATAATATATACTACAAAATACGGTGTATCTACGAAGTAAAAGGGTAGGGACTTTAAAACGTACGTTTCAAAATTTTCACTCGCCCATTGTTTTCACACAAAATTAAAAGGAAGAATATTGAGAGGTGGTTTGGGAGCTCGAGCCCAGCTAGTACGCGCCTAGTGTTAGACGTGCCTAACTTTAGTCCCCGGACCAAAAACCAGCTCGTGCCTAAGTTGAAATGGTCGTAGATCAAGTATAGTCGCGACTAAGTGCAGCGCGGGTAGATGGACAGGGAATAGCGGTGAATTCAGGTTTTGGCGTTGGCAACGGCCACTGCAGAACACGTTACCGTTGACAACAAAAAAGGTAAACAGTTGAAGATTGATACAATTTTACCTTGGTATATCAATGGTGGCTAATTGGTAGACTATGGTGTAAGTTTCTGCATTGTTTCATTTCAAAAATGTAGTTTTGTAAGATCGTTGTTTTACATCCCAATGACTGAAGGACCGTAATTCTTTGTATTAAATTCTTTTAAGATCTAACTTTATTTTCACCTTACGATTTATAATTATTTAATCAGATGTCTTTAAGTACTACACCTCATAAATACGTACAGAGCAACATGGGATTCTGAAAATTAATATGATTTCTTTCAGAGATCAAAACGCCAACAACTATCCAACCGCTCCTAATAGAAAACATAGCATTGACTATAGCAAGCTATGGCTACCATTACTCAAGGTTTTTTTAAGAAATAGAAATCCAACTTAAAGAGATTATTGAACTTGAACTTTAAATACTTAAACAATTCATTCAAACAGTAAAACGTCCAGCTACACCGACTGTGATTAACCTCAGCATATAAAAAAAGAAAAACATCATTACCTAACTCAATTCAAGAAAGCACGGGAAAAGTTATAGAGCAGTCGTGATGAAAATCACCATGAACTCAAGTTATGATCTAAGTTGAAATAGTTTACATGATAGTTGAAATAGGCTACATGGTAGTTTTACCAAGCCAGCCAGCTTTTTATAAACAAACTAGAATAGATAAAGAAGAAGTTCATTGTTCATCTTCTCCATCCCGAGAAGCTGAAGCTCCCTTCAGCCGCTCCGTCCCTTCAGCCGCTCCGTTTAACTTTCCCTCTTCTTCTTCTGGTCCCCTAACCAACCTGGTTCGTTCGTTACTTCGTTGTTCGTTCTCTTTAACCAACCGTTGAACGTTCGTTTCGTAATTCGTATCGTCTAGAAAACTCTCTGAGATAATGCAGGTAACTTATTCAATAAATTTTTGAATAATCATAAGAATCATAGAAGTTAAGTTAGGCCTAAGTTAATAAACCCAAAATGACACGATCTATTATTAACTTCGGCCTTGGATTGACAAAAACTGGGATAAGCCTTATTGGTCACACTATCATAGGCCTAGCGGATAAATTGTAACATTGAATTTGTAATGTTTCAAAATTTAGAAAATGTAGGCCTAGGCTTGGGTACTATTTGGGTTTCCTAACTGGGCTATGCTAATATCGATTGAAACTATCGATTCGATTAGTAAACCTTCATGCAATTTTTTCACCATCAGCAAGTTTGGTTGGTTAGGTTAGGTTATGATAGCTTAATATTATATAATAGATATATTTAAAAATATTGATTTTTAATCAATATTTTCAATTCGATAGTTTCAATGGATATCAGCATAAACTTAGCCCAGTTAAGAAACTGTACCCCTAGGCTTAAACAAAACAACAGTGTTAGGTACTGAACAAAACTAGACTAGGCCTAAGTTAAGTTAAAGTTAGGCCTACAATTGTTGAACAATTAAAAGGCTGCACTTTACTTGACGTCCTACACTCATTCGATTGGTTTTTCGATTCGATATTTTCATTCGATTATTTCATTCGATATATTGTTTGGTTAGTTAGGTTAGGTTAACCTTACCTAACTAACCAAACGATATATCAAATGAAGTAATCGATTAATCGATATATCGATCGATATTTTCATTCGAATGAGTGTAGGACGTCAAGTAAAGTGCAGCCAATTAAAAATAGGCCTACATTAGATGAGCTTCTATCTAAACAACCCTGGGGTAACTTACAGTTTCTTAACTGGGCTATGCTAATGATTGACGTTTTAGATTGATTAGT